GGTCATAATTTTTATTATTATTGTATCCCTAATTTTTCTTATAAATATGAGGCCCTGGTTCTCAATAAAATACATACAATTCTATTGACTTTTTTTTTTTTAATTTTCTTCTATTTTCTCTCTAGTTTATAACAATATTCACTTAATCAAAATTATAATAATTGACAATACTATTTTTTACACGTTGCTATAAAAATTCAAATTTGGATGTTGACACATCACTGCAATACTTTATTTTCTTGAATGTGAATTAAGGTATTGGTGTAATGCTTTCTTCGTCTTGAATGTGAGGTACTGAAATAAAAAGTAACGTACTCTATCACTTTTCAATAAGAAGGTTGCACACTATCTGATTTAAATTATTGCAATATAACGTTTTTACTTAAGCTTAATGAAATATTCTAACTAATATTCAAATCTTACTTCCTACTTTTTTGAATTGGGTATGGATTAAGGCTGTGTCTATTTGAAAGTGACTTGTTGTTCACCTTTTAATTAAAAGGACACGAGAGTCTAATATGGTTGTTTATTATGAATGGATGTTACTACAGTATCATAATATCACACAACTTAATGTTTTGAAGACATACAACTTTTGGAGGTTAGTACTTTTGAAGAAATGATATGATACAGTTACAAAATTGCGAAACTCATAATTCAGTGATAACATCAGTCTAAAGACTATCAATTATCGAAGAATTTGTTGTTGATGTTTATAGAAGCATGTACGAAGTTGAAGAAATCAAGAATGAAATAGGAAGTGAAATAGTTTCAATTGTTACTGTAAAGTAGAAGATAACAAAGAAAAGAAAGTTAGAATATTTATGAAACTCGAATATTTGAGTTTTTTTATTTCAGACTATCTTTCAATTTTTGTTACCGGTATAGACTATAATATATATTAGAGATTTCTATGCGTTATTTTTACTTTTGAAATAAAAATAGAAGCAATATGTCACTTATATAAAAATTTCACTTTTTTAAATACAAAAGTTTAGCTTGTTAAAATGGCCTTGCTAACCTCCTTGTTTCTGTGCCTCAACAATTACATGCAAAGTAAAGAGTTATTTTCTCAGATGAATCTGTTAGATGATAGATATATCACACAATATTTGTCACTTTTAAAATAAAAATTAGCAAATACTTTACAAATCAAATATCGCGTATAATTTACGTTTAATTAAAGATTAACGATAGTTAAGATTATTAATCTATTTTCTTGATTTTGGATCTGTAGGTAAACTCTGAACAGTTAACTGAATTAGAAGAAGTAATAGACAAATTGCAGTGGAAAGAAAAAGAAAATATTGCAGTTGACAGAAGATAAAATTGGCGTCTTTGAAGTCGGGGCCTGTGTCGAACACAGTGTCCTTAAAGCAATATTCGCTCCCTCACCGAAATAATGCGAGCGCTTGCTTCCCAGGATACAGCGGCGTGAACTGTAGTTTGTAGTGTGCCGGAACGGAATCACCAAGTGACTGTAAGACGACAGGAATTTGAAAAGGAAGCAGAAAGATTTTATGCTGTTGTGGTGTGTCTGAATTGAAGAGATTGTACGGGATATATAGGCAATGAGGAGCCTTTGCCTCTTAATGCAGTCATAACTCTGTCATTGAATTCTCACGTTTTGGAGTTACAAAAATAAATGAAAACAGTTTTCAGGTTATGTTTTAAATGGAAAACGTAAAAGAAAATTTTCAAAACGTGGCTTGCACTTGGTGGCCAATTTTTGACTCATTCGGTCCGACATTCGTGTACGCACACAAGTTCAAGGCTCGAAGGCCAAGTCGGTCCAAGATTTGCACCCCCTTGCGGGCGCGTAAGCCACGGAGGAGTCTCTATGCAACAAATGGTTACACCTTACAAATTGTTAACCATATATAAATTGGTCCAAAAACTTATTCTTATCCTATGTGGGATAACTATTTAAGTTTTCCCACTTGCCACTTTCTTTTTTCTTTTTCCAATGTGGGATGGTACTATTTATAGTCCCCATATATTCCCACTTTTCCATTTCTAACCAATGTGGGATTGTTAATCCCTTTTAAAGCTCCTCTTCAAATCCCAACTTTCAATCAATGTGGGATTAATTTCACATACACAAGTGAAAATTCATTTGCCAAATAATATATTTTCCAACAGGATCTTGTTTGTTTCGAATTAAAATTAGATTTTAATCTAAATCAAAGTTAAACAATCAATATTAACCACATCTTTCATGGACTCCACAACTTTTCATCCATACCTTTCAAAAACTTCTATCACAATCTACTAAAAATCTAATTTTAATCTCCACCAAACACCCATATACTTTCCTCGTACTATTATCCAGTATTTCAATATTAAACCTGAATATGGGTAATAGTTTATCAAATTGCTAAATTAATATGCTTCGATTTTTCTCTATCACCCTATATATCTTATTTCTTTTTTCGAGGACACAAATATCTTAGCCACCATTTGACAAATTTATAAATAATTTGAATTGTAAGAGAAATAACAGTGGATCTTTCAAAATGTATGGATAATAATTGATAATACTTACGAATATATAGTTGAAATTAATGTTTGACTTTAACTGAAATATCTTTAGAGAGACTTTACGTTATAGGAATTGTCATATGTTGAAAGGTTCATAGGCAAATCAAACAAGCGTGAATAGACATAGGCATCATCATCAATGAGAGGGATTTTTCTCCAGAGAGTCAAAATATATTGATAAAAACTCATTTAAAACAACATGAATGAATCCAAAAACTTCAATGTATGGTCAACAAAAAGTTTTGACCACAAATTCATATCATAATAGTTTGATCTTTGACCTGTCATTGTCGTGTGTGAAAATTTGACGAATCACGCACTCAACTATGTGGACACAATCACATGTTTGCATGTGGGCCTTCAAATGCTTATATTCTCATTTTCACATGACTCATTAAAATCTTAATACTTATTTAAGTAAAACCATGTGACAAATAATTTAAATTTTGACCAGTTTTACAACTTAGATTGACCAATTAATGACTATGTTTTTGGTGGAAACCTTTAGAAATTTATTTAAAAAAAAAAAAAAAGGAACTCTAGAATGTATTGGTTTCACTTTTAACTTTGGTGTTAAAACTTAAAAATAAGTAAAAATATTATCTTTATTTTCAATGCTTAGATCATTTCTGTATGTCAGAAATGATCTAATGAGTACCGGTGCTCATCTTATCCTAAGCACCGATGAGTTGGCACATTAATTCATTGGTGGATTGGCCATTGGTGGATTGGAACTCACAAAATCTTTATCCACCAATGAATTAATGTGCCAACTCATCGGTGCTTAGGATAAGATGAGCACCGGTACTCATTAGATCATTTCTGNAGGTTGAATTAAAATATAATAGTTAAGTAGTTGAATCAAATGTACAATGTTCCAAACATTTACTATCGAAGCAAACGAAAAGAGAACAAGGGCATGTTTATTAAGTTAGGTTAAGGTATAATCTACTTCTGGAGTAGCTCGGCATGGCTCGCGCTTTTTTAAGACGGGCCAGGCTGAGTCAACTTGTTTAAAACCTCCAAGCTTTAACGTAGAGTGTAGTCACAATTTGTATTAGCGACTCATATATGCATCGAGTTGCCCTCTATTCAGAGAGAAAAAGTCCAGGTCTAACATGAATATAAGGTATTAAATGTCTCGATGTTCCAAAATTATGTCAGCAACATGTAATAGAAGTCACTAAATAATAGTTTAATGAGCACCGACCTCTCTTTCATGCCCAGATGAAATGTCGAATTTCAATACAACCCTCTGAATATTATTCAAAATTCTAATCTCCTTTTCACGTTTCCCAACTACTCAGACAATTCCTCATGTGCCTGTGTGAATTTTCATTTTAAATAATCATAAAATAGAATATTAGATGCCAAACGGTATGGCCATTTATGGAGCACCATACATAGTAGCCGCATCTCCATAAAAGATGATGAATCTCTAAAAACAGGTTCACGAACCACAAATTATGCAAAGCAATGTGAAAAATAATAAATAAAAGTTCTCTCGGATGAACTTAGGATCGATTACGTGGATCTTTTTTCTCAATTTCATTATTTTCATTGGCACATCTAGGAAAAGATTCACTGTAAATTTTGATTTATGTCTTCCTCTTTTATCGTGTTTTACTAAGCTCGCATTTTTCGAGTAAACAAGAACTACTCTAGGTCAATACAATACCAGATGTGACCTGACCTACAATGATTTTTTAGAATTTCAAAGAAATTCTTCAATTTCTTCTTCTAATGTTCCGTGAATATACCTTTGAAGGAAAGAAGGAATCCCGAAAAATCCATCTTAGTTTTATTAGAGGAATGGATTTTCTCTCACTTTTGACATAGCGGCCCAAAAGAATTTAATATCAAGAATGACGTTCTCAACATTCATAAAACACGCATATCGTGCCTAAAGGTGCACTAATCAATTAACTTTGGTAACAAAGAATATCTCTTTCAGGTCTCTTTGTCTAATTCCATCTTACTAAACAAGAATGAATCAATATCCGTGTTAGGGAAGTTGTTAGCTAGTGGCAGCTCAACTACTAGAGTGTAATGCTTGGTTCCAAATCATTTGTCATGGATGGGTGCTATCTCCACTTTCGACATGCATTCTCGTTTTCCTTATTTTTAATATGACCAGACATCCATCTTAACATTCTCGTATTTCGTCGTATAAAATCCAGAAACTCCCAATGGGGAGGACCAAATCAGCAGTAAAAAGTATCTACTATGATAGAGAATCAAAATGAGCAGACAGTTTGCCTAAGCATCAGCATGTGAATCCTGCAAAGAAACAGTCGTCAACAGCCACTTGCAAACTCCTCCCCCACCATTGTCCCTAAACTACTATAAATACTACCAATGGCTCTTCTCAAATCTGTCCACTCAAATTCTCTCTCTCACACACACAACACACAATATAAGAGAGGAAGGTGCAAAAGTTGTATCAAGAACGCACAGTCATGGAGTATTACATGGATGAGAAATGGAAATTGTCAAAAGATGATAAGAATACCTCTCTGTCAAGGAGTGTTTCCCAGAAGATCTCCACAAAATCTCCACTTCTAAGGAGTTTAACAAAGAAAAATTCCTTCAATCTATCAAGGAGTTCTTCACAAAGGAGCAGCAGCACTTCTTCTTCAAACAAGTCGTCGTCCCTGTCGAGAAGTTCGTCCCAAAGGTGCACAGAATTTACGCGCAAATGCAGTAGCTTGGCCAAGGAACAGAAAGCAAAACTTTACATAGTCAAGCGATGCATTACAATGCTTGTCTGCTGGAAGAAACATGGAGATTCTTGACCTGAGGACGTTTGGCCATTCTTGGAAGTAGCTAAAAAACTGCTTTTATGGTAGTATGTAGATGTGCTTAAAGGTAGCTAAAAAAGCTACTTTTCAGGTGAAACAATTCTCTTCTACTTGTTCTTATATCCCTACTGTGAGAGATGGATCATGGGGTTCATTTGTAACCTAAAGAAGTTTTTTCCTGCCATCCCAAAGAAGAGATATTAGCAAAATTTTCTTAAGTTTCTCAATGTAACTAGATTCAAATGGGGGATCCTAAACTTGCAGCAATGCCACATTATGAGAAGATGTAATATAATGTAGAATTCAATCTACAATACATTTGAAAAAATCCATCTATTTCTTGCCATTTAATGTCTTAGTTGCTTGCTTTCCATAGCGTTCTTAGCCGATCTGGTAATAGAGCTCTGTACTTTTCGTAAATGGATTTCGCTCATCAAGTTCTTGTTCTATCTGCAGCTTAGAACGCCACAATATTCACCTTTTGGGGGTTTATCGATCAGTTGATATCCTTTTATTTATGAGAGGGATGAATTGAAGAAAAGAAATCAAAACTAGTTAAACACCAGATCCGCTCGGTTTGTGTATCCAATTCTTCTTTTTAGCCAAAAAAAAAAAAGAAGGAAAGAAAGAAAGAAAAAGGACATTGCATCAAGTGACAATCATAATAGAATTTAATTAGAAAACTAATGTTCTTTCCTGCATTATTTACCATATAAATAACTCACTACGAACGTCCCTGATCTCTTCTCCACTCGCAGCTCATAGGGCTTGCATTCAAGCTAGAGCAAGCGAGTGAAGCTCTCAATTTAGTGGCACCCCACTTTTTACTAGTCTCGAATATCGTAGACTGGAAAAGTCACTCTCTCCCTACTCTCTGTATCTCTCTTTCTTTTCCTTTTTCTTTATGAGTTGTGGTGGTTGGAGATAGAGGAGCAGCATGGATTATAGTCCAGGCAAAATCCAGGCTCTCCTCTTCTTTTAATTAAGGAACTTCACCAAATGAGAAGAGATGCCACGAAACATCTTCCCCTCTTGACTCATGGGACTCAACCAAAGTTGCTTTACTTTTGGAAAGTTTATAATTTTCCTTTTTTGCTCATGTATTCTAGTCTGTGTAAATCTTCTCGAACATGTTATCTTCCAACACTTCACTTAGCTAGCGCTACATTTACATCAATATGTTTGAAAACTCGAGCAGAAGGTTGGGATTTTAATTAGATGAATGGCATTTTGTTCTTCACAGAGAGAGTATACTTGTCTTCCTTTAAACTTAATTCCTATTGGAATCTTCCTAACCACATCACTTCCTTGAACCCCTTTGCTACTGCAATATACTCAACCTTTACACACCAGCTCTCCATAACTGCTAAGGCGCCAAGATGGCTACTTGGATTTGTTTTTTCGATCCAACTAGAGAATTTGACAGGCCTATTGACCCCACTCATGATCTTTCACTCAGAAGAAAAGTTTGGATTTTGATATCTAATAAATGCGGAGCAATGATATTAAAACGGGTTGGATTAAATATATCAACATCACAGTGATTGACTCGACTCGAAAATAACTTGGGGCTATTGAAAGCAACCTTATCAATTAAGAGGAAATTAGGCTCTCTACTTACTTTTCCCCCCAAAAGTTGAAAAACACACTGTAGTTTCAAATTTTAGATTAACAGTTAAGAAATATGTTCCATAGCATTAGAAAATCAAGAATTTAGATATACCTTCTTTCTCTTTTTCTCTAAAAGTATGAGGTTTGGGATCTGTCTTCTCCCTCTGACGATCCTATCTAAATTAAAGGAGGGTTTCCTCCTAAAAATTGCTGCAGTTTTTTTATTCTTATTATCCACACACTCCTTAATTATTCTATCCAATTTTTTTTTGATTCAATTTTGACTTTCCTTCTATCTCTTGTTGCGCCATCATGTTTAATCTGTACCACTATTGATCTTCGAAAACTATGGATTGAAAAGTGACAAAATACATTACTTTCTAATAGAGAAAATCAAGCACACCAAAACTTAGTACCATACTCTAAATATTCGTTAAAAGATTACTATAAGCACGTTTTGAATTTAGCCAAACATTTTAGATGAAGAAAAGACACTAGTTTCACAAGCAATAAAGTTTCTTTTTCCATGATGTAGAACTTTAATTCATATCTAACGAACAAAAAAATAATTCTAATGTTCTAATTGATGTTTTGTCACTTTTTGAATTTTTGTCAAATTTTTGAGTATTTGTCACTTTTTTGAATTTTTGTCATTTTTTAGTATTTATCACTTTTTTTTAACTTCTGTTACTTTTTTTTTGTATTTGTCACTTTCCTGAAATTTCTGTCACTTTTTTTAGTGACAAACGTCACTTCTTAATAAAAGTGATATTGTATGTCAATTTTTAATAAAAATATGACACTTAACTTTAAAAAGTGATATTGTGTCACTTTTTTATATCAAAAGGTGACACTTAATTTTACACAGTGTTATTTTTCATATGATTTTTCAAAAGACTCTTAATTTTAGGGGTATTTTTGTAAGTTGTTTATTAATTAAGGTCACTCATGGTCCAATTTGACTTGTGAATAGCTCATTTCATGCTTTATCTTGGTCTTTGTTTATGGCCCATTTATTGAGTCTTTTGCCCAACTTGACAATACCTAAAACTATATAATTGGCTTCCTTGCTTCAGCCTTGTTGTGGGTTAATTGTGAGAGAGTGAAAAACAAGGATAGCCGTCTTTGGTGTTGATTTTCCCCCTTATTTGGCTTGAGTTTTAACCTATTGCTCCCTTTTTAATTCTCCTCCTTTGTGGCTGCAATTAATCATCATATTGTGTCCTTTGTGGCTGCTTGAAAGTGGTAATTGAAGTGATAGAAAAAGTTGTGGTTCCGAGCCTCTCTTTGGTGTGTGTTTAATATTCGATTTATAGTTGAAACGGAGCCCGATTTGTGCACAAATCGAATCAATTCCGTGACAATGACGACACTCAAGGAAGTTAACAAAATTGCACAAGTGAGGGAATGGAAGCTTACTAATAAGTGTATTTTAAGCCATTATTACTTTTGATAAATTATAAATTAATCTTATATATTTATCGTTTGTTAGGTAAAATTCAGTAATTGAAGTGAAATTGGAAAAAAATGAACGAAAAATGAGCTAAAATAGACAAAATATAAAGTTTGGGGGACCAAATTGCAAGTTTCAATTATTGATTCGGACCACAAAACATTGATTGAAGACCATGTTGTATTAATTGGATGAAAGTTGAAGATAAATGATGAAAATTGCACGAGAAAATGACTTAAAGAGAATAAAGGATCAAAAGTAGGGACTAAAACACAATTTTTGAAAATGAATGCGACGAGCATGTGCCACCCAAAACTATAGATCCCAAGATGACATTTAGCAAGGACGCGTGTGTGAGGCTTCTATCTCCGCGCGCATGGTCCAAAATTTCGGATGACAGCTAGTTTCCTTTTTCGATCAAAACTTTGTTTAAACCCGATTTTGACGCGATCTTGACTTAATTTTCGAGGGCTATAAGTATATAAAGTGGGCTACACATGAAGGGATCCATTTCTCACTTCACAAATCACATTTATATCATAAAATCATCCAAGAAGGAGGGACCAGTTTCGTATAAGTTGAAGATGAGAACAAGTATAGCACGTGGAACATCATGAATTTGAAAAATTAAGGGTTTGTTCTCTTTACCATTTTCAAACCGTTTTCTATTTTTTATTTTTCAAAACAGTGAAAACGCGTTCTCTTTTCTATTTTCAAAAATGTATTTTTGAAAACAAGTTAAAAATTTACAAAGAAAACTCAAAACGATAAATTTGTCGTTTTGGGTGTTTTCAGTTATAATCAAGCCAAAATTTTTTAAACACGTCTTGAGTGTTTTCAAAATAAATGTCAAAAAGATCACATTTTCAACAATCTCAAAATGAACACTTAAAATACAAAATTCAAAATGAATTCAAAACACAAAACTGAAACTCAAAGAAAACAACCCCTAAAGCTCCGAGTTGAAGATCAAGAATAAGAGTTAAACTATGACATATCTTTCTTGCATTTATAAATTTTGGGTGATGATTTTTCATTATTCTTTTTGTTCTATTTTCAGAAACATAAACTAGATTCATTTGGGTTGAATTGAGAAGAACACTTTATTTATTTATTTTTAATTCAAAGATAAATGATTTAGTAATTCTTATGTTTCTTGATTAATTATTCATGCTCGATTCATTATTTAAATGTTTGAACATCATTTAGATAATTAGTTGCTTGTCATAGTTTTTTAAACTCTAAATTAAGTAAAATATTGCATAATTAACAAATGGACAATAGATTTAGGAATAATATATATTGCATGTTCAATCACTGAATAATCGTGTAACTAAATGCATTATCATATGGATAATCATGTATTTGAATGCATTCTATTCATATGAATTCCGACTAATAATAGGATTTGCTCGTGTTGAGAACAAAGTCAACTTATCTTGAAAAAGAAAGTTGAATACAATAGGATTATCGATTATAAAAAATGCATAAATAAAGTTAAATTACATAGTTAAGAATTAAAAATAGAATAATAATAGTTGGATTCGAAATTCCAACACATACATCATATACTTTAGTTAAGCATAATAGTTAGATAACTAGTATATTAATTTAGAATAATTCAAATAAATCTCGTTTGTTACGTATATTTGAAGTCGATAATGGATTAATATAATTCAATTTAAGGCTTATTACTCGTCAAACGATACTCTTGTCAACAATCTCGTATGCTTGTAGAATTTATACGAACAATTTTTTGGCATTATTGCTGGAGAATTAAGTTTTTAAATCGAATTTATTAATTCATAATTGATTCAAAAATTTTATTTATATTTTGTTAATTTTGGTTACTCGCTATGATGTCTTGTGTGTTTGGTGTGCTTTCATGTACTATTCAAAAATATATACATAATTCTGAAGATAACAAAAG